CATGGCAAGGTGACCATCCTATGACCGTCATTGTCCTTCCCAGCACCATCAACGCCGGCAAGTTCGGCATGCCGGAGCAGGACTTTAACGACCTCCGAGACCACTTCTACTCGTGGAAGCGCGGGAGCCCCATCGCGTCCACAAGGAGGTCCTCACCGAGTCAGCCTAGTCGTAAGGCTCAATCCGAGTCGACTCAGTTGTCATCATTAAATAGCTACAAGGAATTCGACATATGGAAGATCCTTATCGAGGAAGGCAAAGACGAGAAACAGGATCCGAGCAAAGCTATACAGTCTTGCCCCGAGGATATCCGAATGGGACAAGCAGAGAATTAACTGGCTGAGGAACACGCAAATTATTCCAATATCATCGGGCCTAACGAGCCTAGCGTTTTGCTCGTCACAAGTTCATCTCTAAAGACGTGCGAGAACCCATCAGTGATCATTACTTGTTAAAATCGATTAAGAATACGATGGATTTTTGTAGGTTGCACAGTAATGAAATCTTTCACGATAGGGTACTCTTAGACGTGGAGATTGCTAGGTTTTGGGCTAAATTGCCTTTGATTAGGAAACTGTTGTGGTCACATCCGGATCTTGAGTTCTTGTGGTGGATTGACAGTGATGCTATGTTCACTGTAATGGCGTTTGAGGTTCCATTGGAGAGGTATAAGGACTCTAACATTGTGATGCATGGTTAGAATGAGTAGGTGTATGATCAGAAGAATTAGATTGGGTCGAATACTGGTAGCTTCTTGCTTAGGAATTGTTAGTGGTCACGGGACATTCTTGCTTTTCGTTGCTCTCCTCGATGAAGTTCTGAACCATCCTCACCAAGCAGACCGAGCTCAGCTCGAACTCAGCCACCCCACCCCGCCTCTTCCATCCTTGCCGCACTGAGGAGGAGCTTTACCGCCGGTTGCCTTCTCCAATGATAAATTTTCAGGATGCCTAGTAACTGTCGGTGAAACAAGCAAAAGAGAGAACAGAGAGATAAGAAGAAAAGGAAAGAACCAAACAAAAAGTGGGACCCAAAATAGGCTTCACATTTAACTTGAATCATGGCTTGAAAATGGGACCCATGAGGGACAATATGGTCCAAACACCATAATAGTAGAGTGTATTAGCCAGGGAGGAAGTGAAAAAAGTGTGACCCTGAATTTCCTAATATAAGAATACGAAAACACTTTCTTAAATTTGCTCATCTTGAATTTGTTACTATTTTATTTTATTTTTTTTATCTTATTTTCTTTCTTTTCTTTCTTTTTCTTTTTCCTTCTTCCTCCCTCTGCTCGTCGCTGGCCTCAAGCCACAAGCACAGGTTAGCAAAACAAACGCATTTTGAAATCATTTTTCAAATGAGATCCAAACACCAAAAAACTTTTTCGATCACATATCAGTAAACAAAGGAAAACAAACCATTTTCTTGGAAAATGATTTCTCAACAAACATTTTCCAAAAATGTTGCATTTTTCATGAAACAAATGCACCCTAAGAAGCCCTTTCAATTATTTTGATGCAGATGTAGATTGGAATCGCGATCAATTGGGTGGTAGAGACTCTTAAGCACCCGACTAGTCCTCATCGGGTATGGCATTCTCTCTGTCCCACACACACCAAATAATTACTACAAATACACAAGTCTATACTCCTAGAGTGGCCTTAAGAGAATGAACAAGTGCGATGATTCGAATGCAAAGCCTTGAGAAAAAGGATGGACATGCTTACCATTTGAGTAATCTATTAGAGTAAACAATCGCTAAAATGTAACTAAAATTAAAATGGAAAATTTTTGCCTCCTAGATATCGAGTCAAAATTGTGGATAGGAAAAATTCTACGTTTTTCCTTAGACTAGTCCTAGATATGTGTACATGGATTTGAACTGGAACACACAAGTCTAAACTTGTGTGGATGACCTAATCTTGAATTGTTTGCACTTGATTGTGAAGCAGATTGAACCTGCATCATGCGCCCAATCCACACACGATGACTCGAATGTCGGAACCTTAACCATTAATTCAATTTCACAAGGTTATGCTCACTTCTTACACTCAACTAATTTGTGCAAAAGGTAAGTAGACTTTATGCAGTATGACCTAGTGATCGTGATTATCACTCATATACACTAAAGTTATTGCTAGTATCATATTGTTATATACGTATGTGTATATATATATAATAACAAACTTTTCTCTAAACATTGTATTTAACGTTAACACATAGCACTTTAGTCTTTAAATAGTAAAGGATCGATCATTTTCCTCACAAGAAATACTTTTCTTACAATTTCCACTCATTTTATCACCTATTTATTACTCGTGTTCCCATTGTTCCCCTCTCTCTTTATTATCTCGTTATTCTAATTGCAAGTCCTTCGAATCAAAGAAGTTTCCTACCTTGATATTAGCATCATTTTCTATATTGGTACACAAGTCCGCTTACTAAAATGCAAATACATACATTACTTCTGCCCAAGACACAGCAAAGCTCAAACTAAACACGATAATTCAAATATTACGTTAACCATTTTTATTCTGTAAGTTTCTTGAAACGATAATGTTATGTTAATATTAGAATATAGGGATATGTTCACTAGAAGTCCTAAAACTTATCGCAAAAGTGCAATTGAGTTTTAAAACTTGCAAAAAGTGTAATCAAGCCCTAAAACTTGTCAAATTGATTCAATCGAGTCCTAAAATTAACACCATCAAATTAGGCTAACGGAAAATGCTAGCATGTCTTATTTTATTATTTTTTGAGGTATGTGGCAATGATGTGGCGTCCAACAAGCGCCACATCGGAAAAAAAAAATTAAAAACTACAAATTAAATTAGATAAAAAAGCTAAAAGTTCAAAAAAATAAAACAAGGTGAAATGGCACAACAGGCGGCTGTGGCCAAGCCCTTGCCGTTGCTGGTGGCGGCCGCCACAGTCGCTAGGAAGGGCCGGTGGAGATTGCCTGGGCCTTCTCGAAGCCCAGCCCGGGTGACAACCTACAAGCCCCAATCCGGGGGAGGGCGCGACCCTCGCCCCAGATTTGAGCGAGGGTTGCCGGCCCTCACCTAGGGCCGGCGAGGCCTCGCCCAACATCGCCCACCCCGGCCCCAGGCGAGGGCCGCGACCCTTGCTCAGAGGGTCGCGCCTTCCCCCGGATTGGGGCTTGCAGGCCCTTGCTGGGGCCTCGCCTGAGGCCAACAAGGGTTGCCAGGCTTCGGGAAGGCCCAGGCGACCTCCGCCGACCCTTCTCGACAGCTATGGCCGCGGCCACCGGCGAGGGCTTAGCCACAGCTGCCGTGGGTCTTCTCCTTCTTTTTATTTTTTATTTTTTCTATTTATTATTATTTAGTTTATTTTTTAAATTTAATTTAAATAAAATTTGAAAATTAAAATGAGCCACATAGGAAAAAAATATTAAAATAAGTCACGTGAGCACCACGTCAGCGTTTTCGTTAGTAAGTTTGACGGTGTTAACTTTAGGACTCAATTGGACAAATTTGACAAATTTTAGGATTTGATTGCACTTTGCAGTCAATTGCACTGTCATGACAAATTTTAGGACTTCTAGTGAATATATCCCTAGAATATAATAACATAAGTACATTAATGTGAATTTTATTATGTTTAAATCTTCATAAATGATTAATGTGTCTTATGTTAATGTTAGAATATTTATCCATGCAATTTTTATCGTGGGAAGCTCAATGAGGTGACCATACTGGGTTGGGCTCCCATACCAGGGGCCCTCCATAAGAAAGCCTTACTCGGTTCTGGGCTTAAACATTATGAGCTTGTATCAGGTACGAGCTTAAACATTAATCTCCCATTAGAAGTTTAGGGTGAGTTTGGTAATCATTCTGTTCCCGAAAATAATTTCTGCTCAGAAATGATTCTTTTTTATTCTGTTCTTGGAAACAATTTCTAGGCATTTGAATAATTGTACAAAATTTCTTTCTATTAATAATATTTTAAATATTTTAATATTTCTTTCTTTCTTTTTTCTTTTTTTCTTCTTCTCCTCCTTGGTCATGGCCGACGACCGGCCGGCGAAGGCGAGGGCTAGACCCTCATCGGATCGGGCAGCCCTCGCCCGAGTCAGCGAGGGCGGCCGTTGCCTAGGCTAGGGCCAGCGAGGGCGCGACCATTGCGGCCATCGCCCAAGGAGTGAGCCTCGAGGGCGGCCCTCGCCGGAGAGGGTGAGGGCTGGACATGGCCCCGATCCGGCGAGGGCTGCGACGCCTTTGCCGGCCCTGGCCTATGGCCGGTCGCCAGCAACCCAACCATAGCCAAGAAGAAGAACAAGAAAGAAGAATAGAAAAGAAAAAAAAGAAAAAAAATCTTTTCTATTTCTAATTTTTGTTCCCAAAATCAAGAAGTAACTTTTTTTGCTTCTTAATTCTGTTTCAAAACTGACTCTGGGAACAAATTTGTGCAAATTTATGCCCAGGAACAAAAAATTTACCAAACGGATTTCTGTTTCAAAACTGATTCTGAGAATAAAAAAATAGAATCAATTATTATTTTGCTAGTTACCAAATGCATCCATAGAAGCAACGTTTTAAGATTTTGATCGAAGGCAAGTAGTTTTAAGATGTACAGAGGCATTCTATTTTTAACTCTTTGAACTTCATTCATTCACTCCCTCCAAGATGGGATTCTTTTATGTTCAAGATGCGTCGTGAAAGAATAGCGAGAAGAGGTCGCGTAAATTTGGGATGGCAAAAAACGAGCGTCGTTACTTGTTAGGATCGACACGACAGCAATGTCTGAAACAGGACGAGGGTGGGGGAATCAATTTATTGTCTGCATTCTGGTACCAGACAAGCAATCACTGTGTTAGGAAGCAGACATCTTTGACCAAGCATCTCAGAAATCAGCATGGACTATCAATTTAGTATTATTTGCATCTTCAATCATCGAGGACCTAATATGTCGACCGGTATCAGAATGGATTCCACTTGTTTAATGCAGAGAAATAGATCATGCTCGAATCCTTCAACATGTACCAAAAAAATGTTTCATTGTACTCTTCATCTAGCATTTCTGATCATTGTACTGCCAAAACAACTACCTTCATACGACTTACAGAAATAATATATTGTACAGAAGGAAGAGGGAGAGCCCGGTGGCTTCCTTTCTCAACATGCACTAACTCAAAACCTACTTGCATATGAACTCCAAGCTCTCACTCACAGGGGAGAGACTTATTGGGAAGCTCTAGCTCTTGCTCTTGGAACTATGTTATGTTACAAGTGATCTCAGAACTTATACTGCAACTGCAACTTCTACTGAATCTGGGTTTAAAATTCCCAAAGGTTTTCCAATTATGTTCCTATGAGAATTGACCCGAGGCTCTCATGGCTCTGGCTTGATCTTCCTGCTGTCGGTGACCTGCGCCTTCCCATTGCCGTCTTTGTCGACGACGACGTGGACCAACTTGCACGGCTCTGCATCCTCCAGCATCTGAACCACTCTCCTCATCGTGGGCCTCAGGTTTGGGAGGTTCGTCGTGCAGAGGATGGCGATCCTCAACACGTTGATGGCCTCTTCCTTGTAGGGCTCGGGGATTCTCAAGTCCACGATGCCGAACACGTCTTGTCTCGTCTTCAACTTGCTCGAGACCCAGTTCACTATGTCCTTGTTCTCTCCATACTCCGGTTCTATCGGCCTCTTTCCTGTCACTAGCTCCATTAGCACCACCCCGAAGCTGTAGACGTCGCTCTTCTCATTCACCTTGTATGTGTAACCATATTCTGCAACATTCAAAACAGTCTCAAAGATTAAATTTGAAATGCGAGTCATCGCTAGTTCTATAGAGTTAAAAGTAATTAGCCATTCCTAGTTCAAATTTCTTATTTTTGCACATTCTTGATTTGATCAAGATTAACCAAAAAGATGAAAAAGAAAGACATTTTCTTACCAGGAGCAATGTAACCATGTGTTCCGGCAATAACATGGGTTGAATCCTTGCTACTACTGGCCTGAACAATCTTGGCAAGCCCAAAATCAGCAATCCTAGGCTTCAAGAATTCATCCAGCAAAATGTTACTGGACTTCACATCCCTGTGAATCACCGGCCTCTCGCAACCGTGATGCAGGTACTCCAATCCTCTGGCCGCTCCCAGGGCTATCTCATACCTTGTCTCCCAGTCGAGCTCTGTCTTCTGGCAAGTGTGAAGCCGGTCCCACAAGCTCCCGTTCGGCATGTACTCATAGACCAGCAAGCTCGAGTCCTCGCTCGTGATACTACAGTACAGTTTCACCACATTTACGTGCCTGATTGAGCTCAGGGTCTCCACCTCCGCGTCAAATTCCCGCGACTTCTCGCTCCGCTTCCCGAGCATCGGGCTCGTGGTCCGGCTCTTCCTCCGCCCTCCTCCGCTGCCGGAGTCTGTATTCCATATGTGCTTGACAGCGAGTTCTCTGCCGTTGGCGAGCAAAACTCTGTAGACGTTCCCAGAAGCGCCTTTTCCTATGAGATTCTCTTCCTTGATGGCATCAAGTATCTCATCCTCAGTAAAGGTCAGCACTTGGAATGACTTCACATTCCAAGATTCTTCCTTTAGCGACCGTTCTTGATCCTTTTCCCTACTGTACAACCGGACATAGCAAGCAAGGAACAGTGATAGTAGAACCACGACTACAACGAGGCAGGTTATGAGGGTTTGGATACCCTTGGATATGCCGGTTTCCTTCGAGCATCGCTGGAAGGAGGTGATATCGGAGCTGCAGAGGCCAGGGTTGCCGGAGAAGCTGCCGTTGTAAGCTTCGATTGACAGAGACTGCGGAATCTGACCGGTTAACTGGTTGTTCGACAGATCGAGAAGGCTCAATTTCAAGGAGGATAGACTCGATGGAATTTGACCTGAGAGATGGTTTTCCGACAGATTGAGGGAGTTGAGTACTTGTAAAGACCCGAGAGATGGCGGGATTTTGCCAGAAAGCGAATTGTGAGCCATGTCAAGGTCGCTGAGCTTGTCACATGAGCCTAACGAATCCGGTATGGAGCCAGAGAACATATTGTTCTCCATGTGAAGGCTGCTCAGCTTTTTCAGGTCACCGATTTTCGACGGAATTTTCCCCGAGAACTGATTGTAGCTCAAATCGATTGCGTCCAAAGATTCAGCCTTCGAGATTTCCTCCGGCAATTCTCCCGATAGGCGGTTTTTGGAAACGAACAACTGCCCCAGAGACTTTGCATTTTCAATGTCGGACGTGATAGGACCCTCGAGCTGATTCATGGCGATGTCAATAATGTTCAAATATGGCAAGCCCCAGATGCCACCTGGCACGGCCCCGGAGAGCGAGTTGTTGCTAACTCGGAACCGAGTCAGTGTCGGGCAATTCGCATAAGTCGCGGGGATTTCCCCGCTCAGCCTGTTCTGGAGGACGAGGAGCTCCTTCATGGTCCCCCGCTTGCACATATCCGGCGGAATCGGCCCCGTCAAGAAATTCTCCGACACATCGATGAAATCGAACTCCGCCCACGAGCCTAGCTTTTCGGGCAGGGGGCCACTCAATCTATTCGTATAGAGCGACAAGTTCACAAGCCGCTCAAACTCGCCAAACTCAACTGGGACTTGGCCTGAAAAATCATTCACGAACAGCTGCAGAGTCACCAAGTTCCTCAAGAACCTCAATTCGGACAAATCGCCTTCCAGAAAATTCATGGAAGCGTCGAAATTCTCGAGCTTCGTCAAGTTCCTCAGCCCGACCGGAAGCTTCCCAGTCAATCTGTTGTTGTACAACACGAGCTGCCGCAGGTCGGTCAAGTTCCCAATCTCCGCCGGAATTTCGCCAGTGATGATGTTGTCCGAGAGCTCCAAATTGAAGAGCTTGTTGAGCCTCCCTATGCCGGGCGGGATTTCACCCTCGATGCTGCAATTCGCCATGTAGAGCCACTTCAACTCGTAAAGATCAAGAATTTCTCCAGGAAACGGAGTACTGTCGAAAGGGTTGTCACCGACGCTCAAATAGAGCAAATTGGTCATGTTCTTGAGTGAGCTCCATGGTAACGCCCCGTTCAGATTGCTTCCGTTCACGTAAAGATATTGCAGTTCAGAGAGGGCAGATATCTCCGGGAACGTGCCAGCGAAGAAGTTGTTGCCGAGGTCCAAGTACTGCAACTTCACGCAGTTGTTCAGGCCCTTGGAGATCGGTCCACGAAGCGAATTACGGCCGAACGCAAGTCTCTCCAGCGACGGCAACGTGCAGAGGGAGTCCAGAGGGAGGACGCCGGTCAGCTGCAGGCCGGATAGGTCGATGGCGACGACGGAGCCGCCGCCATCGCAGGCGACGCCGGTGAAGCTGCAGGCGGGCGTGGCCGGCTTCCACGAGGAGAACACGTCCGGGCTCGGGGATTGGAGCGCGCCTGACAGGTCGAGGAGGGTCTGGAGCTGGTCGGATCTGGCGAGGGACAAGAGGGAGAGGAAGCAGAGGAGGGACAGGGGAGGAAGGTGGGCGACGGACATGGCGGCGGTCGGAGGAGGGGAGAGGCTCGTCGGGTCCGGCGGCGGCGGCGGTGGCGGGGAGTGATTCTCCGTCGGGGGAAGTGCGAACGAAATCAAGTCAAGAGGCCATTTTTAAGTGGGCGAAATGTGGACGTGGGGGGAGCTGTTCACACAGTGGCATCGCACTTCGGAAGCTGCCCGTGATTGATCTTATCATCGCTGTTTTTGCCACCGTCGCTCGCTCGTCCACGACAGTTGACGGGGGTAAGAAAGCGCGTGAGACCCTTTTACCGTTTACCGTTTCTAGAGCAACCTAAGCATACGCTACGGTTCGTGTCTCCTACTTAACGTTTTGCATCAAGAACTGCGCGTCCAAAGTCAAAGGTATGTCTGCAATCCATACAGAGTACAGTCCCTAGCAGTAAATGGGGCATTGGACCGGCATTTCATGCTAATGTCCCGTATCAATCGTGCTTCAAATTTCACGTTATCGACCTGTGGTATTATCAAAATCCCGTAGTCTTTCATTTTACGGGGCAAATAAGGGTGCGAATGATAATCATTCTGCTCCAGAAATCATATTCTTGCCATAAATTAATTTCTGGAGAAAAAATCTGTTTAGTAAAAAACATGACTAATTCTGCTTCAGAAATTGATTTCTGGAACAGAAATCTGTTTTGATTTGTTGATTTTTTTTGCACCTAAAAAAATTTAAATTTTACTCAAAGTGGGTGGCCACAGGTATTCTAAGCCATTTTGTGAAGTTTTGAATTTTTTTATTTTTTTGGCACCTCAAAAAATTTAAATTTTACTCAAAGTGGGTGGCTACAGATATTTTAAGCCATTCTGTGAAGTTTTAAAATTTTTTATTTTTTTATATTTTTTTGGGCACCTCAAAAAATTTAAATTTCACTCAAAGTGGGTGGCCACAGGTATTTTAAGTCATTTTGTGAAGTTTTGAAAATTTTTATTATTTTATTATTTTTCTTTTTTTTGGGCACCTCAAAAAATTTAAATTTCACTCAAAGTGGGTGGCCACATGTGTTTTAAGCTATTCTGTGAAGTTTTGAAATTTTTGATTTTTTTATTTTTTATAAAAAAAATTCACCAAATTTCATATTTTCCCGAAATCCGACTTTTTTTTATTTTCTGGAAATTTTTATGAATTTTTCTAGAATTTTTCAATTTTTATGCATTTTCTGAATTTTTTTTTTTGAGAAAATAGGGAGAATGCATTCTGGAATGAAGAAGCTACAAAAAGTAGCTTCTCTTTTTCTTGCCAAAAACTCATTCTGGAATCAAGTATTTTTAACAAATGCATTTTTATTCCAAAATGCAAAAATCGCTCCAGAATGCATTCTGGAAATTTTTTAACAAACGCCATTCCGGAATGAAATCCATGCGCACCCTAATACTCTCCGGCCTCACTCCCCCCAATCTTTTTACCAGCAGAGCCGCATGCCTATTGACAAAAACGGCCTTTCAAAAATACCAAAAAAATGGACAACAACCTTGCGGAAAACAAAAATCGCATCTGTTAGTATCTCATCCATAACATAAAGGACTGAACCTTTACTGGGAAGGCACTATTTTGAAAGAAAGAAATTTTTTTTGACACTTTTAGCTAAAATAACACGATTTCGATATAGATGAGATTAAGTAAAATTGGATATTAAGATGAATTGGATAGTACTTTTTTTTTTTTATCGGAATTTGGATAGTACTTGAGGGGTTGAGAATGTGTAGATACTAGCCGTTACTAACTGTTAACTGTTAGCACGGTGAGAATCGGGCAGGCTGACAAGCGAAAATGTTGTGCTTTTTTTTTTTCCTTTCAAGTTTTGGCAAAGTAATAGTCATGCCAAAAATATTAAACATTTCGGATAGACACATTCGTCTCGTGATGTGGTGAATTGATTTTATTAGAACGGTTTTTTATTTGGTTGTGTTTGAAAATTTGAATCACCCTTTGAACAATTCAAGCATGATGGATTAGAATCCAAGACTCACGCAGACAATGACAACTGTTCCAATAATTGGCATCACCATTTCCATTTGCTCCGCCGAATATGAATTATTTGAAATATATATTTTTTAAAATAATTATTTATATCGCTTACAAAAATGAATGAGTGATAAATATTTTCATCATTCATGAAGACATAAATTGTTATCGGCAATTGAAATATTTTCATTGACTAATTTTTTCAAGAAATACAAGTGATTATTTTTTGAAAAATATTTTCTAAATAATTCATTTTTAGTGGAACAAACGGAGCCTAACCAAATTATTTTATTTCTTGGTCAACAAAAGTTGGAAAAAGAAAAAATCGAGAGCGCGTCGCAATCAATAGAAGGTACCTTGTCTCCCGAGAATGTCTAGAGGAAGCATAATTTAATTACGCTCGCTTAATTAAGCGAACATAATCGAGTGGAAGTTGCTTTGGTCAGAGGTAGTTGGTCCTTAATTCCAGCGAAAATGAAACCTCTCGGAATATTATAATTGGCTTTCTAAAAAAATGCATTTCTTTCACGAGTCTATTATTAGGAGGCCATCACTTGCTATTAATTATTGAGTAAAGTTTATTTCATTTTTCATTCTAGAAGGGGGCCCAAAATTCGTTGCTTAACTCAGATTTACTCTCTTGATGATTTGGGCGTATAAGATAAAATATGTATATAGCCAGATTTAAAGATGCATCTGTTTTTATTTTTATTTTTATTTTTTATAATATAGTTTAAACTCGAGCTCCCGGTAGTTTGTTGTGTGTTTGTACGATTGTTGCATGGCAAGACGCATGGCATAGTTTTTCCACGTGGCTCAAATTCGATCGATGAGCATCGGTTCATTGATTTGTCATCGGGAAAATTACCAAAAAAGTTGCAAACATATTGTACTTTTGCCAATTGAATCTTAAATATTTTAATTGTGCCAATTGAGTCCTAAATCATTTCATGTTTTGTCAATTGAGTTAATCCGGCCAATTTTAGCCGGAAATCGCTGACGCGGACGCCTGCTGTTTTACGTGGCACAATAGTGCTGATGTAAAGAATTTTTAATATTTTTCGATTTTTTTATATTTTTTATTTTCTTCTCTTTTCCTTTTTTGCTTTTTTTTTTAACTGTGGCTAGCAAGGGTCGCGGTCCTCACCTGGCCTTGCCCAAATCTGGACAAGACCATCGCGCTCGCAAGCGAAGCCAGCCTGCACGCCAGATCTGGGCGAGGGGCGTGACTCTCGCTTGTGGCTGGCAAGGGCCCAACAACCCTCGTCGATCGTAGTAAAAAAAAAAAAAAGAAGGGAAAAGATTGAAAAAATATTTTAAAAATTATTTACGTCAGCGCCGATTGTACTACGTAGAACGGCCTGAGTCAACGTTAGAGATTTTCGGCCAAAATTGGCCGAATGATCTCAATCGACAAAATGTGAAAAAGATTTAGAACTCAACTGATACAATTAACAATTTTGAGACTGAATTGGTAAAAACGTAATAAATATCTGACTTTTTTTCTTTTGGTAATATTCCCATTTGTCATCTTCAGACTATTATCTCATTCAACTCCCCTCTCTTTCAACATCCACAAGACACACTTGGCCCGGCGACAACGGTTGGAATCAACAAGGGAAGCTTCAATGATCCCCGAGCAACGGAGCTCTCGTCGCGATTTCATCGCGATCTAGATGTATTTTGCCATACTTTTCCACATAAAGTAATCGTTTACCCACGACGAGAATCGAAGAATTCGCGATCGATGGATGAGATTTATCGGGCATTTTTATTGAGGTGGGCAATCACATCCGACTTGTGGAAAATAGTGGTCATGGCCATGACAGGATCCCACCGGACATATCACATCAGAAATGCCGGTCTCGAAAGGCTCATTTGCACGATCCACATCAAGCACGCATGCCATCAACCATTTCAGCGAAAGACGAAATAAGCCTTCTATGTGGACCTGCTAAATGACAATTTTTTGGCAATACCTATTTAGGGGTCACGTACACGGTGCCGCCGAGTCATGTTACATAATTAAGCGTGCTTGATTATTTGAAAAGTATTTTTCAATATAGATATACTTGGGCATGTTCATATCCTTTCAATAACATATTATGCTTCGATTTTACGCCTACTATGTTGTGGCATGGATGGTATATGCGCGCTCGATGTCGAGCATAGATCGACCCGATACTACACCTGCTATGTTGTGAAAAGAAAAAAGGATTGTCGAACCCTACACATTCGACATCGACATCGGGGGTGCATTCCAACATCATGCGACATTGGTGGATATCGTCTTCATTTGATTGAACTGTTATGTGATGTGCAAGCAAATTGAAATGACCGATGCCGCGCCGCGCCAAGCTGTATCCATTCTCGGGTTTGATTGATGATCTATGAAGCATCCATATCTAAACTGTTCTTAGTCATACTTAAGAGATTTTCTAGGGTTTTATTGTGGATCCTACATCCTTATCGAAGGGCAAATAATCGGGTTTGGTCGGTTGGCATGTTCCCATCACGGAGTTGCTGACCATGTTATTATATTTCTGTTTTACAAAAATTAAGCCCCATCAATCATCTTGGTAATCAATCATCCCCAAGTTACAGCTTCGATTTAATTTGTCCTTTATGGACCCAAAAAAATTAAATTGTCGCGACCAACATTAATTTATTATTTAATAGAGTGGAAAAAAACTTAGTTTATGGGACCCCCTCTTGGAATATATTATGACTTGAGATTTGCTTTTCAGTTTTTGGGGACACTTTTTATATATATTTTATTACAATTTACATATATTTTTTAGTCATATTTTCTATTTAAATGTATTATTTTCATATTTTTATTTAAATTTCTTCCTAATTTATATCATTTATTTTTCCTATCTTATGCTTTCAATTTTATACAAGAGAAATAAAGAATATATATATTTTTTATTTTCATCTCATATCATTCATATCTTTTTTATTTTAAAATATTATGTATTTTTCTATTCTTTTTTTCATTTTTTATTTGTATTTTACAATATTATTAGCCGAATAATTTTTCCAGCAACAGTGTGATGCGTGTTGTAGGATGCTTCATCATGTGTTGTTGAGCTACCGCTAACTTTCTTTTCCTATTAATTTTCTTAAATTTTGTTTTCCTTTGATTATGGGTCATTTCATTGTTCACGAGGTTTTTTGTGCGCGAATGTAGTCACGGGTGCGTTTGTTTAGT